AAGGACATACGAAGGGGAACAACCTTAGTTTCAAGAGTTTAAGAAACGTCCGAAAGAAAGTACTCTTGGAGAAAGAATTCCATGAGAGAAACCCATACCTTAATCGATGTTCAAACTTTAATGTTGCTGCCTGGAAAACTCCTCCAAACCACTCCCAATTCACTTCAAAGTATACCTCTCTCGACGAACCTCTCTTAGCCTTGACGTTTTGATTACTTTTTCTTTTGCTTAAAAATTTTTGTGAGTTCTTCAAACATGAAAACTGTTGATATTTTGGCAGAAATAATGTGAGGAAGATGGAGAACGTGAGAGAGGGAGTTAAGAAGCGTGAGAGAGAGAGGACTATTTGGATTAGGAGACTAATTCAAGAATTAGTCAAATAACACTTAAAATAAATAAATACAAATCTGTTTTTTATTTTATTTATTTATTCATTTAAAACGTGAAAGGACAATTACGCCCTTAAATACTTATTTATTCTTATTTATAAATTTTTTTTTTGAATCGTTACAGAGAAGTTAAATAACAAACAAACACAGAAGATAAGCAAGAAAATTCACTGAACATTGAAAAAAGTTAAGAGCATTAGTTGGTTTAACATAATGACTAGAAATTTTGATTACCTCATCATCACTTATTTGCACTTGTATAATCTGAAATAAGAAAATTTGAAGCATTAAGAGGTCGTTCTTCTCTGTCATTTCCTTCAGCTAGAACTATAAAAATAGTTTCCCTTATAGGGAAAGTTGTTGCTGCAATGTTAGCATTTAGGTTAGTGAAAATCAACAATTTCAAATTTGATTAATTGGACAGGAACATTTTGAATTGAAAGATGAAATTTAAAACTTCAAATGTTGAAGTGATATGATTGCAATGTAACTTCTAGTTAGCTTTAAAAACAAATGAAATAAAGGAATCCCAAATTTCACAACATCTAGCATAAGGATGCTTACTTGTTACACTTATTACTTTTAAAAGTATCATGACAATGCTTTTCGAATGATTTCGTCATAAACTACATTATATGTAGAATGACCATCCGTGTCCTGTGCAGTTGGTGGACGTATTAATATTTTTACATTGTCTGAACATTTTGCTCGAGATAAAGCAACATAAAGTTGTCCATGTGAAAAACCTGGTTCACGCAAATATATTCCAACAAAATCTAATGTTTGACCTTGAGCTTTGTTTATAGTCATAGCAAAAGATAATCTTATCGGAAATTGTATTCTTTTGAAGGGAACTGGAAGTTTCTCATCTTGTGATGCTAATAATGGTATCTTTGGAATAAAGACATGTTTATCTTTAAAATCACCACTGCAAATAGTAGCACTAATAATATTTGACTTAAAATCATGACATATCAATCGTGTACCATTGCATAAACCTTCAGTAGGATTTAAGTTTCGTAATAATATAACAGGACAATTTTTTTTCAAAGTTAATCTATAAGGTGGTAAGTTAGCAGGATGTAAGGTATGCAAAAAATCTTCAAATTGGCATTGATCATTTGGTTCTATAGTTTCATCAATAGCTATATATACTGTAGCATCATCGGTAAATCGATGTATAAGCATATCATTTATTTCATCAACAAAATTATTTTTTGTTGTCAAAATAATACGGGAAGTCATAAAAGATGGATTACAATAGAATGTACGCAAATTAGGATAAGTAACATTAAATAAAATATTTAAAGATTCTATTTCATCTGTAAAGGGAATGATAAAATTATTGGGAATTTCAATTTTGTTGCAATTGTTAGTTTTTTCTTGTCCATTTCCAATTATCATTAAATATGCACAAAATGCTGGATCTTTTTTTGCACGTATGTTTTCAGATAAGCACAACTTTTCAAGATGATTCCAAATACTGGAGTATACTTATAAAGTCCTCTTTTTTTTCCACTATGAACAACAGGAAGTGTTTGTCTAAACTCTCCCCCCAAAACTAGTACTTTTCCACCAAACAGTGCTTTTGTATTCATAAGATCTTTTAGAAGTGTATCAAGAGCTTCAATCATGTTTTTTTTGCCATTGAGACTTCATCCCAAACAATTAGTTTTGAATCTCGAATTAGAATTGCTAACGAAATTTGTTTACTAATATTGCAAGTGAAATTGTCATCAATGTCAACAGGAATTTTGAAACGTGAATGAGCTGTTCGTCCTCCCAGAAGTATTGAAGCTGCCACACCAGAACTTGCAGTTGCCAAAGCTATGAATCCTTTTGTTCTTACAGCAGCCAACAAAGCTCGATATAAAAATGTTTTTCCAGTTCCCCCAGGACCATCAATGAAAAAAGCTCCTGATTTATTAGAATATACTCTTTCAAGAATTATGTTATATGTTCTTTTTTGTTCAATATTTAATTTGCTTTGTAGAAGTATATCTTCTTCAGACACTATTATATTTCTTTCAAAATAAATTTCTTTTGCCTCATTAGTTATTCTAGAAGAGCTAACATTTCCAAATATATCTTTGAATTCATTTATGTTATGTCCCATTGAAATTAGAACTTCATTGATATGATTTAAAACTAAGAGTTGAATATCATTTTTTGTAACATTTGGAATTGTTTTAAAATCCTCTGACATAGAGTCTTCGTATTTTTTCCAAAGATCTATTGGGTTACCACGATTACAATAAACTAATAATGTTGCAAATAGTCTTCTTAAACTTTAAGACATTTGATAGCTGACTGCTTCAGACATACAATCAATTAAGTTGTTATCAGAACGTAATAAGCCTCTTTTTTCGGCAGCTTCCCTTAATGTAGTGTAGTATCTTTCATTCATTGTACGAAGATCGTCATATGATGTTGGTCCTCTTACATTCATTAGAAGCAACCTAAGATAATATCTTTCTCCTTCGGTTGGATGACATGTGACAATACGGTCGATAGTAAGTCGTTGTTTTCGACGCGACTACATTTTGTATGATGATGACCATACAAAATGTTGGGGAAACTCTTTATACAGTAAATTCAGATTTATAGCATCGTTATTGATTTTGTTCATAAGAAAGAATTCTGTTAACATCATTTTTTAATCATTGGATTATTTATTATTTGATCCACAGTTTGGTTATTTTTGAAAGAAACAAATTGTTGTCTATCAAGATGCAATTGCAACTGGCAAACACTTGGAGTCATTTCACTTATCGCAAAAGCAAGCAGACGCCATGCAGCCTCCGGTGGAGAAACCCATCTAGCAGATTGGTATTCTTTGATTTCATCTATTTCTATGTTAGTATCATTATTATTTACAGAAAATGCAATTTTATCATGTCCTTTGCAAATATATTTGTAAATGTATTTGACAGCCTTAATGTCAGAACATATTTCAACATTCATATGACAACCAAATTTCTTCAGTAAATATGGATTGTACGGAACAATCCAAGAATTATCAATGTTGTGTCCTCTAACTTTGATTGGTGTGATCATTTTTGGTCTTTTTTAAAGGGGATATGAATTCTTTCCTTTGGTTGTTTGTTCAGTAAGTTCTTTTGGATATTTGAATTTACATTTTCCTTATTTTTGCATGCATGAATTTGAAGGATTTAAATATCCATAGGGACCATGAATCATGTGTTTGGTCACAAGTTTGTATAGATCATGATCAATATCGGGATCAGGTAGTTCAGCACATACAATTTTATCATATGCTTCTGGTGTTAACAATTTATATCCACCCATAAGAATAATGAGAAAATGGGCATGGGGAAGACCCTTTTTTTGAAACTCAACTGTATACATAAAAGCTGCAACCTTTCCAAATATGTTTCTTTTTTGAATATCAGTTTTAATTTCTTCTACTTTTGCTCTGAATACTCTACTAACTAAATCAGGTCTATTTTGAACTTCTTCCATTGGTTGTAAATGTTCTTGTATTTCAGGCCAAGACGGATTGCAAGTCATCGTTAAAAATATGTCGGGTTTTCCAAAATGTTGTACCAAAGCAATGACATCCATATATCTTCGACGCATATCTCTTGGACCTCCAATGAAACTACCAGGAAGAAATTTTTGTCTCCCAATATTGGAAGCATCTCTTTCTCCTTGCCTTAATAAATCAATGATTCCTTGGAAGGCTTCAACTCTAAATAGATCTTGATTAAATAAGATAAAATCTAATCTTTGTGTCTCTAGTTCTATATATTGGTCAACTATGTATTGTTGAAATACCCTTCCAGAATGTAAAGTTTCATTTGGTTCTTCATCTCTTATTTGAATTTTATAACAATAATATTCACGACAGGAAACAGTTTCTCTTTTTCTCAATCCTTTTGATAAAACTTTAGATTCCATGTCAAGGACTCCATCAATAGAAGTGATGTTCATTATACTTGGTAGCTGCTCATATTCACAGTAAATTTGTCTGTTGGAATAATTGTATTTCTTTATTTTTTTAATACCACAATGCCAACCATTTTGACCATAAGGAAACAACAGTGGATATTGCAATGGATCATAACATCCATAATAGTAAGTTACCAATTGACTTCTATTACTATGAGTGTAAAATTCTAATATGTGGTGTGGAAATTTTATCATTTAATTGATCTTCAATCCAAATTGCCCCAACTTCGGATGTAGTTGGTAAGTTATGTGTTCTTTGGTCTAAATTGGAACTTGAGTTTAGAGCAATATAAAATTCAGATAAATTTGGAAGAGCTGTTAGCGATCATAAAAAAGTAGAATAAGGATTAACTTTTAGTATATCTATGAGCTTTGTAACAATTATCTCATTAAGATTATCTGATAATGCCATTCGATTTGTTAGCTCATTTTCATTATCATATTGTAAATTTTTTCCTTTTCCTCCTGAGGGTATCAAATCATCAATGAAGTGATACATTTTTCCTTGGACTTTAAATGTATAGATGCCACGATTTCTCCTTGCTAATTCTCTATCATAATGTACTCCAAGTGAAGTGAATGCAAGCATATTATTGTAGGCTCTACTGTAAGTTCGAAAATGTTGGGATTCTTCGGAGTCACGTAAGAATAAATTTCTCAACTCAATAGCATGTTATGAGAAGTTAGCCTAATTATCCATTATTACAACAAAAACCTGGTGATTCATATTGAAATCTTTTTGCTGCACAAAATTTGTAATTTGGAATTTTCTTTAAAAGTAAGTAATCTTTTAGCAATAAATTATCATTTTGTAGATTTACTTCTAACTTATTTCTACCTGTGCATGGTAAAAAGCAATTATTTGTTACATAAAGGCATACAATTTTTTTACTATGGTAGAGAGAAGCATACCTCTATTTGATGTACGTCTTGAACTTGATCTGCTTGCAGCATAAGATGAACCCGACGTTGATCCTAGTATCAGGAATAAAAATATTTAGACACAGTTAGCCAATTATTAAAAATCAATATAGTGAAAATAGTTTAAGTAATATTTCTGAACTGACCTACTTCAAAGGTAGATAAGCAATTAACTATACTTTCTCCTCTAGTTGAAGTAACTGGTAGGTTTATAGCTTCAGAAGCTTCAACTACATAATGAGGAAAATAACTTTAGTAAGAGTAGTTGAGCTGAAGCAGCTAACTATAGTTGTAGATATTGAGAAGACAGATTGAAGGAAAGGAAAGTAACAATATGGTTAGCTAACCTTCTTGAGGAAATAACAAAGAAGTGCTGATTGTAAGGGAGCCAGTACTATTTAATTGATGTTCTCCTGTAGTTAAATTAACTGGTAGGTTTGTAACTTCGAAAGCTTCAACTATAAAATGAGGGAAAAAGCTCTAGTAAGAGTAGGTGAGATGAAGGGTGAAACTATATCTATAGATATTCAGAAGACACATTTCAAAGCTGGAACTACAAAATGGTGACCAAGACGATTTCATCTGATGGCTGAAAGAAAACTTCAAGTATTTTGGCAACCAATGTGAATATTATTAACATAAAAACCATAAAAGAGACTTATAATCATCCAAACCTCAACATATTGAGGAAAAGTAAAGACATGTAATTACACAATTTTGCCAAAAAACGACTACATCTACTTGACTTTTTTGTATTATTGAACATTATTATTGTTTCACCCATTTCTCTATTAATTGTGTTCACTATCTCTATATACTGCATGTGTACTCCTTTGAAGTATTTCCAATTTCTTGCTTTCCTCCCCACATAGCTGCTATCACTTGCTTCTTCAAACTCTTCCAATGTTTTATCTTGATTATTTCTACTGTTTCCTTGAAACCTCTTGTAGGTAGACTGACTTTAATCTATTGAGTTATTGTATCTCTTACTTTTGTAGCATATTCACATTCAACAAATAAATGATTGCTTGTCTCCATAGTTGAATCTTGGCGCATACAACATGAAGTGTCCTCTACATGTATATTTTAGATGGTATATTTTAAGATAATATTGATTATATTAGAGGAGAACATAGAGTTGCAGCTAATGATTCATCCCAACGACTCAGAATCACTTCACAAGTTGTCCTTTTTTTTAGAATTAGCTTGTGACCAGAGGTAATTCGTTTTGATTTTGAACCTCGAGGCAACAACAACGTTGCCTCGAGAACCCTCTCTGGTAGTAACTCTACAAAATTGGGGCCTTGATGATAGCATGATTCAATCGTACAAAAAGGTAATCAGAAGGAAGATTTAGAACGAGTTCTGTAAGTTTTTTTTAAATGTATATGACATAGGAATTAGGTAGTAGGAACGATAAGATTGAGAATGAGGTTATCGTGGATGAGGTTAGAGTAACATTTGTGATAGACAAAATGAAGAAAGTGAGATTTGAGATGGCTTTGAAATTGGACATGTGAAGAGATGTGCAGAAACCCAATAAGGAGGTGGGGGAGGTTGGATATATTAGATTCAAGGAGAGGTATAGGTAGGCCAAAGAGACATTGAGAAAAAGGTGATCAGACAAAACATAACGAATCTTCAAATTAACGAGGACTTGACCTTAGTAGGAGGAGGTCATGTATTAGTATAGAGGGTTAGTAAGTAGCAAGTGTTACCATGTTTTTCGAGGGTTATTAGTTGTATTCTTGTAGTTCTTGCTTTTGATATTTATTAACTTTTATTTATTGTATTTTGGTTACTACATTAATTTTTTGTTGTACTTATTCCTTTTTTATAACTTTTGCAGTACTTCTTTTATTAGTTGTTATATTTTCTTCTTTTTTAACACTTGCATTTGTTACGCTTGAGTTGAGCATCTCACAAAAATAGCATATCAGCCTCCACAACTTAGTGGTAAGGCCTCTGCACACTCTATCCTCTCCAGAGCCCGTAAATTTTCATTGGATAAGATGTTGTTGTTGTTCTTTATTTTTATTTTTTTAAAATGTACATGACATACGAATTAGGTGGTAGGAGAGATAAGATTGAGAATGAGATTATCCTGGATGAGAAAAGAGTAATATTTGTTGTAGACAAAATGAAAAAAGTGAGATTGATTAGGATGGTTTCGGAATTCGACATGTGAAGAGATGAGCAGAAACCCAATAAGAGGTGGGAGAAGTTGGATATATTAACACAGAGAACGGTAGAGGCAGGCCGAAAAGGCATTGGAAAAGGTAATTATTAGACAAAACATAACGAATCTTCATATTAACGAGGACTTTACCTTAGTAGGAGGAGGTCATGTATTAGTATAGAGGGTTAGTATGTAGTAAGTGTTATCATGTTTTTCGAGGGTTATTAGTTGCATTCTTGTAGTTCTTGCTTTTGTTATTTATTATCATTTGTTTATTGTGTTTTGGTTACTACATTAATTTTTGGTTGTACTTATTCCTTTTTTATAACTTTTGTAGTGCTTCTCTTATTAGTTGTTATATTTTCTTCTTTTTTAACACTTGCATTTGCTACACTTGAGTTGAACACCACACAAAAATAGCATATCAACCTCCACAACATAGTGGTAAGGCCTTGCACACTCTATCCTCTTCAGAGCCCGTAAATTTTCACTGGATATGATGTTGTTATTGTTCTTTATTTTTATTTTTTTGAAATGTACATGACATATGAATTAGGTGGTAGGAGATATAAGATTGAGAATGAGATTATCCTGGATGAGGAAAGAGTAATATTTGTGGTAGACAAAATGAAAAAAGTGAGATTTATTGGGATGGTTTCGGAATTGGACATGTGAAGAGATGAGCAGAAACCCAATAAAGAGGTGGGAGAAGTTGGATATATTAGACACAGAGAACGGTAGAGGCAGGCCGAAAAGGCATTGGAAAAGGTAATTATTAGACAGAACACAATGATCTTCAGATTAACGAGGACTTGACCTAAGTAGGAGGAGGTCATGTATTAGTATAGAGGGTTAGTAAGTACTAAGTGTTATTATGTTTTTGGAGGGTTATTAGTTGCATTCTTGTAGTTCTTGCTTTTGTTATTTATTATCATTTCTTTATTGTGTTTTGGTTACTACATTAATTTTTTGTTGTACTTATTCCTTTTTTATAACTTTTGCAGTGCTTCTCTTATTAGTCGTTATATTTTCTTCTTTTTTAACACTTGCATTTGCTACACTTGAGTTGAACACCTCACAAAAATAGCATATCAACCCCCACAACATAGTGGTAAGGCCTCTGCACACTCTATCCTTTTCAGAGCCCGTAAATTTTTACTGAATATGATGTTGTTGTTGTTCTTTATTTTTATTTTTTGGAAATATATATGACATAGGAATTAGGTGGTAGGAGCAATAAGATTGAGAATGAGATTATCCTAGATGAGGTTAGAGTAACATTTGTGGTAGACAAAATGAAGAAAGTGAGATTGATTGGGATGGTTTCAAAATTGGACATGTGAAGAGATGTGCGGAAACCCAATAAGGAGGTGGGGGAGGTTAGATATATTAGACACAAGGAGAGGTATAGTTAGGCCAAAGAAATATTGGGAAAAGGTGATTAGACAAAGCATAACGAATCTTCAGATTAACGAGGACTTGACCTTAGTAGGAGGAGGTCATGCATTAGTATAGAGGGTTAGTAAGTTGTAAGTGTTATTATGTTTTTCGAGGGTTATTAGTTGCATTCTCGTAGTTCTTGCTTTTGTTATTTATTATCATTTGTTTATTGTGTTTTGGTTACTACATTAATTTTTTGTTGTACTTATTCCTTTTTTATAACTTTTGCAGTGCTTCTCTTATTAGTCGTTATATTTTCTTCTTTTTTAACACTTGCATTTGCTACACTTGAGTTGAGCATCTCACAAAAATAGCATATCAACCTCCACAACATAGTGGTAAGGCCTCTGCTCACTCTATCCTCTTCAGAGCCCGTAAATTTTCACTGGATATGATGTTGTTGTTGTTCTTTATTTTTATTTTTTTGAAATGTACACGACATAGGAATTAGGTTGTAGGAGAGATAAGATTGAGAATAAGATTATACTGGATGAGGAAAGAGTAATATTTGTTGTAGACAAAATGAAAAAAGTGAGATTGATTGGGATGGTTTTGGAATTGGACATGTGAAGAGATGAGCAGAAACACAATGAAGAGGTGGGAGAAGTTGGATATATTAGACACAGAGAATGGTAGAGGCAGGACGAAAAGGCATTGAAAAAGGTAATTATTAGACAGAACATGACGAAACTTCAGATTAATGAGGACTTGACCTTAGTAGGAGAAGGTCATGTATTAGATAGGGTTAGTAAGTAGTAAGTGTTAGATATGTATTTCTAGGGTTATTAGTTATATTATTATAGTTCTTGCTTTTGATATTTATTATCATTTGTTTATTTTTTTTTGGTTTCTGCATTAATTTTTTGTTGTACTTATTCCTTTCTTATAAGTTTTCCGTTGCTTTCCTTATTAGTTGTTATATTATCTTCTTTTTTAACACTTGAATTTGTTACATTTGAGTTGAGCATCTCACAAAAATAGTGCATCTACCTCAACAACATAGTGGTAAGACCTCTGCACACTCTACCCTCTCCAGAGCCCATAAATTTTCACTTGGTATGATGTTGTTGTTGATGACTCCAATCTAGCTATTCTAAGTTGGATTTTCTTTCTTGAGATTCCGTCATATTTTTCTAATAGTATATACATAACGAATAATATATAAAATTAAAGAATAAACATATGACCATACTTAATGTGAATTCGCTGACTCTAAATTTTAAATTCGCCTTTGTAGATAGTCCTTGGTGAAAGTTTACGACTTCCCGATCTTAACTCACTAACTTGCCCAATATGCCTAGTTGAGTACATTCCTGGAGACTCAATCAGGATCATACCTGTGTGCCAACACTGCTTCCATGTCCAGTGTATTGATGAATGGTTGAAGATGAAGTCTACCTGCCCCGTTTGCCGGAATTCTCCGCCTGATCATCGCGAAAACGAAAAGCTTGACCAATTGTCGTCGATGCAATAATTGATATTATCGAAGAATGTGGTGTCATGGTTAGATTGCTTCTAAATGCTTAACCAGAGGTCTCAGTTAATGCTTTGAAAATGAAAAATATTATTAATTATTGGTGCCCCCTCTTGTCAACTAAATTTGAGTCGATGTACATGAATTTGCTTTTCCAATATGATTAGGTATATGGCTTGGTAGACAAAGGGTTGGTCAAGGGTTAATAATCTCATTTCAAAGATAGTGGGTTCGATTAATTAAAATATTTTAAAAAAATAAAAAAAATGAGAGTTTTTAAAAATTTATTTACTCCGTTTTAAGAAGAATTATCTATTTTGATTTGACATGGAACTAAAGAAAATAAAAAAAGTCTTTTCAATTTAGTGGTCTTAGATTAAAGTTATGTCAAATATATTAAAATGTTTTTTTGACTTTGTTGTCTTAAACATGTCACTTTAAAAGGTGAAACTAAAGAGTTGTCGAAAAAAGAAAAGAGTTATTCTTTTGAAACAGATAAAAAAAAGAAAGTTGATCATTCTTCTTTAAATGAAAAAAGTAGTAAAAATCAAGTTTTTCCCCATCGTATAACAATGAAAAAGTATTTTATAAAATGTGATTTTCTCATTGAATCAACTCATTGAGAAAATGTATGATAAAAAATAGATTCTCACTTAAATAATGAAAAGTTTCCTAATTTTTTCGTGTAAAAGTATTAATTTTTTTCCTCTCCGAGTCAATCAAACTATCTGTATAAATTAAATTTCAAGGGAAATAATGATTTTTCAAAGTAGTGAAATGGTTTTTTAAAAAGGGTCTCCTATTCATTTTACTTGTCATATTTTTTATACATTTTTTAAGAAAACATTAAATAAAAAAGTAATTGATTAATATCCTTATTTATCTTATCTCAATTTGATACTACTTTCGTTTTCATCATATTAATTGATCATTTTTCACATAGTAAATTTCTAAAAATAATAATGATTTTATGGTCAAATTAAAATATAATTAATTAATATGAAAATTTTAGCTATTATTTCTCATAAGTGCACTACGCGTCCATTATGTTTGATCCTATATGTGAAAACTACTAACAGAATTTTGCTATTTTTTTACAACAGATTTACCTAAAATATGGTTAGCTAACCTTGTTGAGGAGATAACGAAGAAGTGTTGATTGTAAGGGCGCCAGTACTATTTGATTGATGATGTCCTGTAGTTAAAGTAACTGGTAGGTTTGTGTCTTCAGAAGCTTCAACTACAAAATGAGGAAAATAGCTATAGTAAGAGTAGTAGTGTCTAACTATAGTTGTAGATATTAAGAAGATAGAAGGAAGATAAGAATATGCTCAGCTAACCTTCCTGAGGCGATAATGAAGAACTATTGATTGTAAGAGCGGCAGTAGTATTTGATTGATGAAGGTGTTTTTGTCTTTTTGACTCAGCCCTTTATTCTCTTAGCTCGGATAAAAATACTTGCTTTCTCTCTGGTGACATCTGTGCATATCTGGTACGACGACGCAAATTTCTCTCAGAAGTTCTTTCTTGGGCAGACACATTATTTCTATTTTCTTCCATTCTTGTTTCAATTAGTTCATGATTTGTTAAAGTAATTTACAATTTAATGCAATATGGAAAAAATACATACATAAGTGGGAGAAAAAGGGAATACATTGAGAAATATCAATGTAGCGTTCACGAAAATAAAAATTAGAATAAGAATAAGACAAACAAGCACAATTATTTAACTAATAACATTAATTTTACAGAGCCAAATATTGAGATATCGAAAATTTTTAAATGTAATGACAGCTAAAACAATGAAAGGGGAAGAACTTCAAACATTATTTCAAGATAAGAAGCAAATTATCCTTAAAATGCGCAACTATTATACAAACACCTCTTCTTCTCCCTAAAATTCTAACCAGAAAAGTTTAAACAAATATTTTGTTGAAATTAAAATCTATAGGCACCCATGCCTTAACTAATGTTATTAAAAATTGGCTCAAGGTCAAAAATTATCACTTGACAGCTAAAAGCATGAATAAGATGCTATTCAAGGTAAAACGGATGCCAACAACTTATAGTATTGATAAAACATTTGGAATTTTAGGAGTTGGATCATTATGGTACAAACTTGGTTCTCTTTTTTCCTGGACTTGGAAAATTTAACAGCAAACAAGTTTAACTGACATGATTATTATAATGCGTACCTTTCTAATTCCAAAGTACATATCACAAACACGTTTAATAGACATGAATTAATTTACTATATACTTATCTAACACCATTGTATGTAGTTTTGTGTGGACTTGTTTCTGGTTTCATTTTATGCATTTATGCAATGAATGGCATCCTCGTCAAGGTTTATGTTTATTAAGGTTAACTTAACTATATACGCATATGCTTTTCTCCAAATGAAGCTGATTTACATGTTGATTATTCAAGCTAATTTGGATTTCGATATGCATGATAGCCATTAACTGTCTTATACATGGTGCAATTTATCTTCTTCAGATGGTATGTTGATACATTCTTATGGGTCCTTTGAGTACCATGCATATAGTATTCAATTTTTTCATTGTAGAAATAACGTATGCGATAATAGCAACATAAAAGCAGAGCAATAATGAAACCCAATCAGCTAAAAAATGCATCAATAGTTTAGCAAAAATGCAGCAATCCTTAGGCCTCAACTTCTGTCCAAAGTACAACATTTGTAGCAACAATATTTTGAAAAAAGCGCAGCAGTTAGCTAACTTAAAAGTGCAGCAAAGTTTAGCCAAATATATAGGCAAACCATTGGCTCAAATATATCCAAAAGTATAGCAAAATTTAGCTCGACACATAGCAATAGTAGACTGAAATTTGATCAGAAGTGTAAGAATTCAGCAGCAATACAATACAAAATCAGCAACCCATGGTTTAATAAAATACATCAAAAAAATGGAGCAGAAATGGATTAAAACGCAATAATGATTCAACCTCAAAATGAGGTATCAAACCATAGCAGTCAAGCTCATCAAAGGCAACAATTAATTCTCATCAAAGACAGGGATAACAACAGGGCAGACACGTTATCTCTATTTTCTTCTATTCCTGTTTCAAGTAGTTCATGATTTGTTAAATTAATTTTACAATTTATCAATGACATTGATGATTACTATGATTTAAAGCTGGTGTGGGGGATAAACAACCATTGATCCATTTCCACCTCTGACCAGTTTAACACTATAAGGACCCCAAGTAGGCATGTACACAATCATACAACCATCAGTAACTGAAGGTTAGTTTATGCTACAATTCCCTGTAGCCGACTCATCTGCATACACTCGAAACATTGTGTGCTTCCCAGGTACATCAAAACCATAGAAGTGGATGAGTTTGGGAAAAGATATGCACAATAAAACAAATAATAAAAACTTCACCTAGTGAATGTTTTTTACTTTCTTTTCTTTAGACTTGTGAAAACAAGAATTCATTTAGTGGTATGTATATGTCGAGCATCTCAAAGGAAGAGTTTGTGCATATATTAATGACAAAGCACTGAATTATGTTAGATAAATTGCAAAATAGTCTGGAGCCAAATTGTACAAATGTGCATGATGGGAGGCCCGGAAGGGGCAGTAGCTCAGACAGAAGTGAGATAACACTTATCCCTCCCTATAGCATATGCATATCCTATATGGTCTTTTTTTTATCATGCTTCGAATGTTATTCAAAATGAAATGTAACTATCATTCGAGGGAATAGTAAGACAATAAAAAAGATTTTCCCATTCAATGTCATTTGGCAATGATGATGATGAATCATGGAAGTAACTTCACGATTGAACAGTATGTCAGGCTTTGTTGTGAAGACATAGTGCGAGTTCATTACTTTATCCTCTCCTCGGGTTCAGTTCAAAATGTACAGAGGTTGTTGATATACTTAAGCCGAACCTAAGACTTTTAAATCTGTTGTCTACAAAAAAAATCTTAAACTATAAATCAGTTTTTAATGTATAAAAAAACTCTAAAATTTCCATACTTAAGATATTGTTAAGACTTCATCACAATTCTTCAATATATACACATGTGCTTGATCTAATTCATCCGCTTCAAGCTCACATGTCTCTTTAGCTCCTAGATTTCTTCCAACTTGACAAAAGATAGATAAACCGCCATCTAATTGTTTTAAACAACCATAATAATTTTGCTCCGGCCAATTGAATCTTGTGTCAGCTTTGAACATACCTTGAACATAGTGTCATACATTCATGTGCAATGTTTCCCTCTTCAAATACAACCTTGAGGAAATGCTCTATTACCAATAAGAGATTTCAGAAAAAATAACCATCGGTCCACAAGATACATCCACTGATAATGAATCGTTCCAGCAATCTTAGCTTCAGTAGCTAAATTAACAGGTAAAAGCTCCATCACATCAAAAAATGAAGGAGGGAAGACCTTTTCTAACATGCAAAGTGTTATAGGAATTTACTCTTCAATATGTTCAAAGTTATAAATTTTCAACTCCTTTGATCCAAGCACACTAAAAAATGTAGATAAATCAATAAGTGGTTCACACACTTCTTTTGATGTCACGACCCAAATCCGGGCCGCGACTGGCACCCACACTTACCCTCCTATGTGAGCGAACCAACCAATCTAAACCTTAACATTTCAATATAATATCAACAGAAAGTAATGCGGAAGACTTAAACTCATTAACAAAATCAATAACTATTATTATCCCCAAAATCTGGAATCTAAACAAATAAAAGCTAGTCCATGCCGGAACTTCAAGGCATCAAGACATGAGGAAGAAGATCTAGTCCAAGCTAGAAGCGTTAGCTCACCCTGAAGATCCGGTGTGACGAAGACTGGCTAGAATTACTGTTGAGTTGAAGACGACGGCACGTTTGCTGCACTCCACAAATAAAAAAGAAGAAAACATAAAAGTAGGGGGTCAGTACAAACACGGGTACTGAGTAGATATCATCGGCCAACTCAAAATAGAAAACAGTATATATTAAGCAATATCATAAAATCAACTAATATCCTTAGCATGCAGCATTTACAGTTACCATAACCCTTGGTTACAACACCAAGCACATCAATGAGGACTCACGCCGCCTCATCATACTCATTTGGGAATTAGGTTCATTAGATTTGAATATATTATCATCTTTCAAGATTCATTATCTTTATTCCCCTCGTGTTGGTACGTGACACTCCGCTCCTCAATATACTATCCTGGTGTCGGAACGTGACATTCCGATCCTCATTCTATCCTAGTGTCGGAACGTGACACCCGATCCATATTCTATCCTGGTACCGGAATGTGGCACCCGATCCATATACTATCCTGGTGTCGAAACGTGACACCCGATCCATATTCTATCCTGGTGTCGAAATGTGACACTCCGATCCTCATATACTATCCTGGTACCGGAACGTGGCACCCGATCCTCATATACTATCTTGGTACCGGAACGTGGCACCCGATCCTCATATACTATCCTGGTACCGGAACGTGGCACCCGATCCTCATATACTATCCTGGTACAGGAACGTGGCACCCGATCCCCTAATCTCACTACTTTCGTTCATCAAGCCTTCTTTTATACCAAGGCATCATCATTAACAAAGTAGATTAGGGTTTATTTTCAAGATTTAGGATTCAATAGCTTCATCATGCTTATTATATCACAATTACATAATCACATTCATGCAAGCATAGAATTAAGCATATAGAAGGGTTTACAATACTACCAATACATATCATTCGCTATTAAGAGTTTACTACGAATAGCATAAAAACCATAACCTACCTCCACCGAAAATTCGTGATCGAGCAAGCAGTTTCCCAAGCTTTGTTTCTCTCTTCCTCATTCGATTCTCCCTCTCTCTCTCTTGTTCTTCCTATTTTTCTTTATTCAAACCCTCTTTCTTTTACCCTAATTAGTATATAATTAAGAATAAAAGATGACAATAATAACCCACTAATTAACTTAAGGTTACCTCTTTTAACCCCCAAGTAATTAGACTTATTAACATTAACCCTCTAACTTTATAATTAAAGTAGGAATAGTCCAAAACGTCCCTTAAAACGTCTAAAGAAATCCGACCCAGATTGGGATTTCGCAGTCTGTGACGGTCCGTCGCGCCTGCGACAGTCCGTCCTGCTGCCCGTCACAGAGTTCAGAGACTCAATTTCTCTGAAGAGTCTGTGACGGTCCGTCACACTTGTGACGGTCCGTCCTGCCATTCCGTCACGAAGTTCAGAGAGTCGATTTTCAGTACCCAATTTCAGATTTTCTAAGTGTTTTGAAACGAGACCCTGTGACGGTCCGTCGCCTCAGCCTGTTTTTCCAGAAATAAAATCTGCTGTTCAAAACGACTAAACAGGTCGTTACAATAGATACCAATTTACCCATCGTTCGTCCCCGTACGATCACAAGAAGGAAAACAAGGGCGAAAAGGAGTACCTGAATCTGTAAACAGATGTGGGTATCTTTCTCGCATATCTGCCTCCCTTGATCTCAACTTGCGAATTTCTCTATCTAGAATGGCCACAGGTTCCTCCTCATAAGACAAGTTCTCATCAAGCAAGACTGAATCCCAACGGATAATGTAGTTTCTAACCCCATGGTATCTTTTCAACATAGACACATGAAACACCGGATGCACTCCGGACAGCCCTGGAGGCAAGGCTAACTCATAGGCCACCTCCCCTACTCACTTAAGTACTTCAAACGGACCAATATACCTTGGGCTAAGTTTATCTCTTTTACCAAACCGCATCACCCCTTTCATTCGAAACTTTCAACAAGACTTGTTCACCCTCCATGAACTCTAAGTTTCTAACCTTTTGATCTGCATATTCTTTTTGCCTACTTTGCGCCGCTAGAAGCTTTTCTTGAATAGATTTCACTTTCTCTATCAAATCCCTC